TTGTGAAGTATAGTGGAGGCCATAAACGGAGGACTATCACCCCCCAAACCTACAAGACGCCCAGCATCTGAGCGAATGAAATGTCTTATTGTCGCTCAGAGCTACGATCTCATTCTCCCAAGAATCAATCACTCTCAAACAGAAAATATCGAGGCTCGATGCCTTCGAAGACGCCCAAGGTCTGGGCGAACACAACGTCCTGTTTAAGCGACGGTTATTGAAGCAATTTTTGAGTAATCTTATCACATTCTACGATCCAAGAATCTCGGTTGCAAATAGTTAAGGAGAGCAGTGACAGCAGTTTAAAAAGGGCAGTTCCTTGACACGTCGCTATTATGAAGCAAGTGGGTAGTTATAGAGCGACAATCCGTTTCCAAAAGGTTTCACAAGAAAAACTGGTGAATGAGTATAAAAGTAAAGAAAGACATAGAAAGAAGGACTCGAATCAATCACTCTCAAATAGAGAATATGTAATTTTACTTCTTTTAATTCTTATCGCCAACTTTCAATTTACTTTGTGTGCTTGTGCCCCTTAGAAGCGTTCTATTTCGTTTTTTATTGTAATCTTCATAAATAAAGCACCATTCGTTAGAACTTTGTCTTAAGAGATTTGTTCCTTACACAATCGTCTGAATTATCTTTTAATTGTTAGCGAGCCTCGATAAATTCACGCGAAACAATTCTACAAGCCATATTTTCATATTTATTTGGTGTCAATTGATGTAAGAGTACTTTGTGCAAGTGGTAAATTCTTATTTCTTGATGTTTATATAAATTTTGGTATGAAATACTATAAGGCATTCAGGTCGATTTCTATGTTAAATCATTCAGGATAGACTGTTTGGTCAAATATGTAATTCCTACGAGATATAGGAGTTCATACGAAATTTCTTGAGCTATTGGATATCGCGATCAGTTTGCTCTAAATTTATGAATGTCGGTATGTTATGTCATTTTATATTTATATCGTGTTAAATAAGAATATGCACGTATTTTTATTGAATATTTTCAAAATACTTACTCTTACAATAACTTTTCAGACTAGAACGGGTCGTGTGGAAGCGTGGAAGATTGATCGAGTGATGCTTATGGATCGCCAAGTAAAATTTCTAGAAATGATAATTTGCCAAATTTTATTTGAAGAACATCTTTATGTTAATTTTTATACATGTTATATTAATAGGATTTTTTTAGGGTTTTCGAGCATTTAACATTTTATGTTAAATTTAAATTGATAGTTTGAAATCATAGTATTTCAAGATTTTATTTAATATGAAAATTTTCATTTAACTTGTTGGTTGAACATTATCAATTTATCATTTAAATCTCACAATGTGGATAAAAGTGAATTTTCGCTTAAATTAGATAAATTTTTATTTTTATTTTTTTGGTAACATTTCAAGTCTATTATTTTTATTTATTTAAAAATGAAATAAAATAGATTTTAGGGCATTACAAGTTNACTGTTATTTATTTGAGTTGACAATTTATATCAAGTATAACTTTTTGTTATATGACTCTTCAAGCCTAGCATGAATCCCATCTTTATGGAAATAATAAGAAAAATTCTTGAAAATTGCACAAATTATCAGTTTTTATTTATCGCCCCTATCCACCTCACCTCACCTCTAAAAAGAAAAGAAGCCAAATGTGATGATAGAGCTTGAAAAAGCTCGTCACTAAAATCAATTTTTCCTATAAATGCATCTCTTTTAAATTTGTCCAAATCCGTTTAATACAAGTTGATCAGTATATTGGGTCTTGCATGGTGGGCATACTTTATCTTCCTTTACTCTATATTAAAAAAATGTCACTGGAAATTTGAGAAAGAAATAATAACTGTTTTCAATTTTTTTTTTTCAATTCTTGAAAAGCTCCAAGACTTTTGAATAATTGTCTGTTTTGTTTTTCTTTTTGAATATTTGTGCGAATTTAGTCAACATAGCATAACATAACACTTACACATTTGTTTCATTGCTGATTTGAAACTTTATAACAAAGCAAATTATTCCTTACTATTTTTTTAAAATTTATAGAAATAGACTTAGAGTCACGTGTTGCTCTAGTATCTTTCTTTTATTTTTTTTTGAAAAAAAAAATATTCTAATTTTTGTGTAGTAAGTTAAAATAATAATAATAAAATAGTTCTATATGTAATGAGATTTCATCTAAATCTTAAATAAGTAAATTTAAATAAGACCCAGGCATTTAACACTCGTCAATCAACTACCGTCCGACAAACCAATGTACGAAAAAAAAATGTTATGTTCCATTTTATTTTTTCGAGCAAGATATACAAATTATTTAAGCTTGAATTCATGAAATAATTATGAGATGTTTAGAATGAAATATGTTATGAAGTTATTACTTTGTTTAAATTTACATGGAGGTATGATGATTAGTCATTATATTAAAACCTCAAGAGTATAATGTATAATCTGATATCACTAACAAAATAAAATTTAATTGAACACTCATGTGACAGACATGACTAGAACTTATCAGACCGCTAGAAAGACCACATCTTGTAGAGCATCGTTTCGCCACGTGGATCTGATCCAACGGTCACTACATCGGCCAGATTAGTATGAATAGAGAGAGCATTCTGGAAAAAGAAAAGGAAAAACGGAAAGAGATTTACATGCTTTGTCCTACATACATCTCAAAAACACGAATGGGAAAGATGTATTGAGATTCGAACACCAAGTAATCCATATTCTCATATGTATCCTTCCACATATTCCATTACAAAAGAAGAGAGTTAGTTTGGGAAGATCGAGAGGGCTTTTGTTAATAGTATAAGTGCAGTCAAAATCTAACTGCCGGAGTCCGAACATTTGTGTCTCTTGCTGGAAGTGCCTCCCGCGTCCATTCCAGCTGGACTACCGTTCCCGTCTCGATAAAAACGTGCCGGATCTGTACTTGACGTGGCAAGAGTGGGCTCGACATCTGTTGAGCTCATTGTTTGGGGGTCAACAACATCCAATGACCTTTCCTAGTGCTCGGGATTCATATCGATGGACCAAATGTTAACAAAAAGCGAAGTTCCTTTCCGAATTGTATACCCTTTTATCACATAATCGGTTGTGGATTTTCTATTAAACATGGGAACCAGAGGCTGGAGGGTAAAGCTGAAAAGTTTCCTTTAAGATAACTTGAATATAGGGTAGATTTTGGGTATCTGATTCTTGCACCAATCTATGGGCTCCAAGAACTTTATCTATCTCTTCTTGTGCTTTCTTGAGTACCCTTAGATCAGCCCATTCAAGGCAATGGATATCGTGTCTGTGCCAGCAGTAAAGAAATCCCAGTGAAAAATTGATGATGTTTAAAAAAATTCACGAGTTAATAAATAGTGAAAACTAATTGCTTATAAAGGATTATTCAGTATGTTGACATTGAAGACTTCAAAGCTCCCACATCAACTGTCAAGTATGGTGAGGAAATCCACCAACCAATTTAAAGTCGGTGTGTTCGACTTCGTGGTTGGTTGCCTTTCACACTTTGATACTTAAATCACATTAAATGTGAACAAAAGTAATTTGCATGAAGAGCGAGTAGAGGTGGTCGCTCAAGCAATATGGGAGTCTTAGGCAAAAGGGTAATTTTATTTGATAACCCTGAAGAGAAATTTTGATATAGCATGGAATGGTTTTGAAATATGTAACATAAAATGAAATGAAATATTTTGTTGAGGAAAGATCAAAACTTTTATACCTTCTTTTTTGTTAAAATTATGCATTTAATAGACTTGAGGTCCAATTTACTTAACCGAGGTGAATTATGGTGAACAAAGGCTGTACAACCAAAACAATTTGGCGGTAAAGTTGAAAAATGTGACTTGTAAATAGGGAAACATTCTTGTAGTGACTAGATTCGGGTTTCGAATTTATGTACACATGTAGTCATTCTATTAATCAAATAAGATGTTATATTTTGAGAGCTTTGAAACATTAAGGGACTGTTATTTTTACCCTTTTTAAGCCGCTTTTTGTTTTTAATTTTTTAAAACAGTGAAAACATGTTCTCTTTCATATTTTCGAAAAATGCGTTTTTGAAAATGAAAAAAAAAATTACACTAAAAACTAAAAACGAAATCACGTTTTCATTGTTTTGAAGCCAAAACACGGTAAGTTTAGAAAACACGGGAAATGACTTCTCTGAACTTACCCTCTTTCTCTCTCTCCCCTCTCTCGCAACATAGCTTCTCTAATTTTCCTTTTCCAATCTCACAAACCCATTCCAAACTCACAAACCCACAATCCAATTGAACTCGTGTTGCCAAATTTGTAGGTTTTCTACACCGATTTCTGGTCAATGGCATTTTTGTGAAAAAATAGAGGATAAATGCAGTTGATGCGGCTTCTAGGGAATTCATGAAGTCGTCTGATTTGAGGCTGAGGAGAGGTGATGTGGCGGCTTTGAATGATAATAATGGGGTTTTGGAAGTGCGGAGGAAGAAGTTGAGGCTGTTGATGAGTGATTGAAGTTTTTCCAATAAGTCTTTAAACACCCAAAATTAAATGCTCTCGTTGAGTTGTGGTAGAGGTGATGGGACAGAGGATATCCGTTATCCACCAGAATGATATAGTCATGTAGAAATGATGAGAAAAATCTCTTCCATCAATTGCACTTTCTTATTAGATATTTTAGTCCCTTTGGTTCTTTCTTAAGTACTTATGCATTCAAAGTTAGCAATAGAAAATTGAAAGTAAGTCACATATGCATATATAAAGCCATTTGAAACCATGTGGTAGGAAGTGGAGGGTAGATTTTATATTTCATGTTTGAAATTGTTGAGATGATGTGCAACTTTTTATCGACTTTGTACTAAATTGGGAGAAGGTGTTTGTTTTGTTACCATCGACTGATTTCCTGAAATGAATTTGAGGTGTTCTAGGTGATTCTGTTTACATAGAAGGGTGTTGTAGTTGGGATTTTTTTGGTAACTATTTTCCTATTTTGTTTTGGAGATTTGATGATATTTGATTTTGTTCAAAATGGGATTAAGCGGTGATAGCTTGGAGGCGAGGTCTTGGGAGGTGGGAAAATCAGAGGGGAGGAATAAGAAGAATGGTGATGCTGAGGTGAAGACTGGGTGTTGGATTAAGTTGAGATATATTGGGAGCTGTATTTCTTCCAGATCAAAAGTTTATAGCTCACTTAGTGGCATCAGCACTCACGGTAATCCATTAATTGATTTTATGTATGTCCTATACCGATTTAAATTCGATTGTAGGTCTAAAAAAATATGAATGGTGATGCTGAGGTGAAGACTGGGTGTTGGATTAAGTTGAGATATATTGGTAGTCGTATTTCTTCCAGATCAAAATTTGATAGCTCACTTAGTGGCATCAGCACTCATGGTAATCCATTAATTGATTTTAAGTATGTCTTATATCGATTTAAATTCGATTGTAGGTCTAAAAAAATATGTTCTTTGTTGTCAGTTTAATCTCTGTTGTTGGAATAGTATGTGATTTCCATATCTTTGTATTGTATTGTTTTAATCTTGAAAGTGATTTGCTGAAGAATGGCCACAATGGAGGAAGAGGAGTCTCCAACTTCAGCCGATATAGAAGAGAGCAATCAAGCGGTGGCTCCAAGAGCCAGACCACAGAGGGCTAACAGTGGAAAGCTACATATGTTCTAAATGATGATGATTCTGAAAATTTGGCAAAAATTTCTAGGCCCAAAAAGAAGGAAAAAAGGATGGAGTGGATAGTGAAAATGGTCATATAAGAGAGAAAGGAAGGGTTGGGAGGAATGAAATGGCACTGCTTGAGGTGGTTACAGAGGAAGATGTCAGTGAATGGGAGGACATGAGTAGTTTGTTAGGGAAGGAATTTGCCAAAAAATGGAAGGGACCGACAAGGTTGCTGCTTTTAGATGAGCGGTACTCGAATATCAGGACTAGGGAATTGCCTGAGAGTATAAAGGTTTATGCCTTGCAACACTTTGATCTTTGCCTGTTGCTTTATTTGTGGGCTCTTTGTATTGATAGGGGCGACCCTATTCTTTTCATAGTTATGTTTATCATGGTACTTGTGTTCGATTGTTACTGTTTTTAGTAAACATTTTATGGTGATTATAAAATAATGGCAGTTATTTATTTTTCTTTGTTTAGAGAAAGTTGTCTGTAATTTTGCACATGATAGATAATAGATTACTAATCCTTAAATTTCTAGTAATGTGATACAGGTTACTCTTAAACTATTAGACATGAAAGTTAGAATGATTGGCATGGAGCAGAATTAAGATATAATAGGGATCAGGGATATGCCGAGATTTGACTGCAATACATATGTAAAAGAAAAAAAAAATTCCCATTATTTTTTTTTTCAAGGAAAAAAATTAATCTCAAATCTGTCAAACTACCTTGAAGGATGTTTTTGATTAATTCTTGTACTCGACCAGTGACAGGGTCCGAGTCAAGTTTATGAACCTGTCTGGCAATGCTTATAAGCAAATTAACGACCTTTAACAACCTTTCCGAGGACGAAACGTCTGACCACTGTGCAGATCGAAATTCAGCTTTTGGCCAGCCAATTTCCACATTTGCTCTCCTCATTTACAGCCACACCTACCTCTTCTCCATCCACTTTATCTCCCTAAAAGTGTAATCCCTTCAAAATTTTCAGCTTTCATAACCAGCCGGCCAAAAAAGCGGTGCAAGAAACGTTCCAGAGCGATACCATTCAGCAAGAGGGTCGAACATCTTCAACGAAAAAAGGCTGTTTCCGATCTGCAGCAGACTACCCACGTAGTCGACAACAAAAATCCATTTTCAATCGTCGTCCATCTTGACCACTAGTGCAACACCAAGCTATCATCATGGATCGTTACTTCCCAACGGTAATAGTAGTTTTCCGACGTTTGCTACGCGTAAAGTAGAATATGGGTTATTTTTTTTTGCTTTTTTCGGCATTCTAGTTTAATATATACGGGCACTTCCTGCCATTTGTAGCTGCATATGGGCTCACCGGTACATCCCTCTCCTTCCAACAGTCTTTCCATAAAGTCACAAGCGTCGGCCCGAAAGAACGCCCAATGGAATCCACACGAAAACTGAATCTTCATTGCCGCATGTGAGGCCGTAATTGTGAATGGTCACCGTAACGGCAAGTGCTTCACGAAACATGGATGAGATACTCTCCTCCGCTTGTTCAACTCATACGCTGGCCACGATTGGAGCAAGCAGCAGCTTAAGAATCATTGGGATTCTCTTCGGCATAAACATACGCGGTTCCAGGAGTTGCTCAACTACACCGGTGTCGAATACGTCTTTGTAACGGGAAGAATTTCTGCATCAGAGGAGTGGTGAGCGCGAAAGATTAAGGTATTTTGCTCATTCACGGTAGACGTCTGCATTTCTGTTATTTCTTATGCACTCTGATTTCTAAGACACAGCGAAAAAGAAAAAAAGACAAAAAAAATTCATTTGGATTGGGGTCTCTAGCTCGTCTGCTGGGATCATTTCCCTTCATGATACAGATTAATAGTAGAAAATGTTGTATCTATTTTTGCATTCGAATTCTGCCTTTTTGAATTTGAGAGGAGTAAAAAAAGTGTCTAGTTTTCTTATTTTGGTCATTTGATTGAATACTTGACTTGGCCTTTTTATAAGGAAGACTGTTTTTATTATTTGCATTAGATGTTTGGTGATTTGTGCATTTGATATTTATCCAATTTTTCAAAAAATCTTCAATTTAATTTTGGCTTCAATTCCAAGTCTAAAAACTTCCTCTACCTTTTGAACGTGTGTAAAATATTTTGCAATAATTGTGGGAATCTATTAAACTGATCATGTGAACTGCGAAGTGAATGAATTGAACTTGCTATTGTACTGCATATTTGAAACATGGAATTGTACCATCACGTTTTTTTAAGTAATTGTCATTTATCGTGGATTTACTACCTCAAGTGTTTGCTCACATCGTTATATTTGTTACGTTCCCCTTCGATTATTATGTTCATTTGCAACAGGAAAATAAGGAGTAGAAAGAGTTCAAAGACAAAGACTGCAGAGAGGTATACGGTTACAAAGATTTTTTTAGGGACGTTTTCGATAACGAGAAGTATGCTATAACACCGTCAAAGATGTGCAAAATAGGATTTGCAACGTTCGATGATAGCGGCTACGAAGACATGGAGGACTCCGTTCCAGCGGAATAGGAGAGTAGTGGGTCTAGTGATGAGACCAAACCAGGGGATAAAACAGCAATGAGCATGGAGGGGTCTAGGCTGCGAAGTGGTGACAAGCTTAAGTCAGACGTGGAGAAGAAAAACGAGAAGAGGAAAAAGAATTTCGCGTCGCGTTTATCGTTCTCTGTTGACCGTGCAATCTCTGCTAATAGAGAATAGCGATCAAACTAGAAAAACTGGTTGGTCCAGAGGTGCCCGATGCAAAGACATGCATTAAGGAGTTGTTGGTGACGGGCAGACTAAAGAAAAAAACTGACATATACTTCTGGACGTGCACATTCCTATCCCTCCGGCGGAATATGGAGATACTTGAAGCACTTGAGGACGCAGAAGAGAAAATGGAATGACTGAAATGGAACTGGCATGAGTACAGAAAGGCCCAACCTAAGCGATGGATGCACTCGAGAAATTATCTCAAACCAACTAGTTTGCGTCAACAATGTTGGTGGTTTTCCATTATTATGTATTTGCCATGTACGGAGCTTATGTAGTCATTTTCGTAAAAACTGTTAAACATTATTATCATTATCTGTATTTGTACTGTTAGTTTTACTTCAGTCGTGTCTACGTAACTGTTTCGAGGCATGCAAACAATCCTGGAGTTTTTTTTTTTTGGCCTTTTCCCTTTTTTCATGCTTGTCATCATTTGTGGGTTGAAAGTGTTCCATGGAGTACCATATAAAAGGACACATGCAATCAATTTGTTCCATTATCAACAAACGTTGCTAACATAACCGCTGGAGTTTCATTTTCATTCTGTTACATCTCAAAAGTCATTTTCGTAGTATTACTTCGACAACCAAGTGCAATGGCACTATCGGACTTGAATTGCATTCTCATGCAGTACTGTGATGCTGAAGTGGATGTTGGGGAAGATGAATTCCTACAAGAGCTGCAGGATAACATTGTTGAGTGGTTTCACTACTGTCACATGTCAGGGGTGGATGTAGCAAGCTATTATCGTGAACAGAGGTGTCGAATTAGAAGATTCCTGTTTGCGCGAAACGGACACATTTTCATGCTCGATGCCATGGCAGATAGCCCGGAGATGTGTTATGCAGAGCTCAGGATGTATCCACGGATGTTGCGAATGTTCGCGCATATACTTCACGATGAGTTTGGTGTGCGCAGTGGACAACAATTAGATATATATGAACACGTCGATATGTTTTTGTCCATTTTAGCGCACGAAAAAGGATACAGACAGGTTCAAACGCTCTTCAACCATTCTTTAGAAACTGTTGGACACTACTTCAAGGTTGTGCTCGCAGCAGCTGTTGAATTCGCTGCCCCTATGTCATAAGACCTGATCCTAACTACAATCACGGAGTAGAGCATCACATTCCGAATTTGATCGAGCATCCGTTATTCGGAGATTGCATGGGTGCGATTGACGGAACGCATGTTAGAGCTGTCTTGCTGGTATGGCGGGGACTACGCATGATTCATGAATTTTGGCACGTGGGATTCATAACTCGGAAATTGATTTTCCGCAACCTGGCCCGGGGAAATATTTATCTTGTAGACTTGGGATTCGCACATAGACCTAGGTACATGGCTCCGTATAAGGGGTTAGATATATTGTACCATTTCCAACAGTTATATGATGAGCGAACGGATCGCAGACGAAACTTTCGAAATGCGTGTGAGAAATTTAACTTCAAGCATTCATCATGTAGGAACGTTATCGAAGGTGCCTTTTGGTGTCTAGAAGAATCGTTGGAAAATACTTGATCGGATGCCGAGTTACAATTTCAAAGTACAGACTGCTATTGTGATAGCTACAATGGGTATTCACAACTTCTTTCGACGGGCGGGAGTAGTAGACGAGGCCTCCGCAAGAGTGGAGACGGACCCTGATATGGCGGAGGTAAACCTCTCAGACGAACAAGAAGAAGTCGCTGTCGAAATTAATGCTCCGAAAATACAACAAAACGAGTGGTATTGTTTCCGTGATTATTTGGCTCAACATTAGTAGAAGATGTGTTCCTACAACGACGATGTGTTTGCAAGGAATAATTGTTGCCCGTTGTGCTTGTAATGCTTTTGAGAATGGAAAATGAAAAAAAAAATATTTTGACTACCTTCATTTTATTTTACGGTAAACGTCAATTTCCATTTTTTTTTTCATGTTGGATTTAGGTTGGTAGGCAACAAAAAATGTACATCACGTCAAACTGGCATTTGGAGCAGTTAATAAAAAAGGCTACAACAATTAAGGGATGGTTAAACACGCAATGAGTTCTCGGCAATTTTCACGTAAAATGGTTTGAAATTTCAAAGAATGTTGGTAGGGACAAATTGGTAAAATTGCACTCAATAGAGTCTGACAGCGTCAATGCAACGGTCCCCAATTTACTTCCATTAACGGTCGGAATTTGAATTGAAAGCATGTCTAGACAGGCTCTAGAAGTAGTTACTTCCCTTGTGATACTTTTCTCTAATCTCGATTTCCTACATAGTTATCGTGTTTAGACTATCAAAATTGTNCATAGTTATCATGTTTAGACTATCAAAATTGTATTTGGCAAGAATTATGAGAATTAATATGAACTCGATATGATTGATTTCAAAATATTTATTACCATGTCAACATGAGATTAGTGCTCCCTTTTTTACAACTTGATTATGTTTGGTTGTGACTTGATGCTAGTTAATTCTTGTCACAAATTACGTACAAGGACAAAAATAAAGATTTGCCAAATTTAATTTAGGTTGTGTTTTTTATATTTGGAAAAGAATATTTCAAGATTCACCAACTTCAAAATTTATATATTATTTAATACTATATTAATATAAACTATTTAAATTTATTGAATAAAATATTATTTAAAAATATTCTCAAAATTTCAAAGTAAACAGGTTTTCCATTTTTATGTTTTGAGAAACGATTTTTCAGAATGACAAAAACAACGAATTTTCAACAATTTCAAAACAAACACTCAAAACACAAAATATAAAATGAATTCAAAACTCAAACATAAAGAGAACAGTTCCTAAGTTTCTTTACTTTCAATAAGTGACGACTTTTCCTTTTGGCTTCTCTATTTTGACAAGGGGTACCAATTCAAGAATTGATCAATTATTCCACTCTCATTTAGGTAAGTCCCAATAATATCAATGTAGAACTCTTTTTGTTTCTTTTTGAAAAATGTGAGTTATAGACTGGAATTGTGCATTGAACATTTCGTGAAAAGTTTTGAAAACTCTAGTTTATTTTTTAAGAGATATATCCAACTAAAATAACCATCGACTCTCATCACCACTACAACCAACATCAGCCTCCTTCACCCTTCCAACGCTACATTTAGTAGATTTGAAAGAAGACATACGATTGGGAAAGTCACCAACTCAAATCAGAATGTTTTTTACTAAGAACATGGTGGTGCCGACAATGGATTGTGGCGGCAGGTGATGGATAGGTGGCAGTGGGATGGATATTCATTTTAGGGTTTGGGATAAAATCTGGTTTGATTAAAATGGTAGTTTGAGAATTAAAGTTACAATATTAAAAGGGTATGTGGTGAAATTTCTATTTAAAATAAAAAAATAAAAAAATGGTCCTGGACTCCACATTAATGTACAGCACTGACTGAATTAGACCTAATCCAGTAAACCCCAACTCAACAGCCCAAACTAATAAGCCCATGTATTTCTACCCAATAAAACATCTAATGGGCTTCGTGAAAATGACAAAAGCCCACATTCGCCACAGCCGTATCAAACCCTATGATATAAACAATTTCTGGTTTAGGGTTTTCTATTCACTCGCGTCCACCGGAGCTTCTTCATCTTCTCAATTGGTCTTTGTCTGTCTAACCAATCTTCAAAAAGCCATGGTATTATTACTCATCTCTTTGTAGTTAATATAATTTTTACAGGAAATGGAAATTAATTTTCAAATCTGTTGTGATTTAATCTCAGATTATCCCAGAGAAGAATCGGAGAGAGATCTCCAAGTACCTATTCCAAGGTTATATTCCCTTTAATTAGTTTCACTTAGCAGAATTTCATGTTTTTGTCGAATTCTGATGTAAATTTTTAAACTTTTTACTTACAGAGGGCGTGTGCTACGCGAAGAAGGATTACAACTTGGCTAAGCACCCGGAAATTGATGTCCCGAACTTGCAGGTGATTAAGCTTATGCAAAGCTTCAAGTCAAAGGAGTACGTGCGAGAGACATTCGCCTGGATGCACTATTACTGGTATTTGACCAACGATGGAATTGAATTCCTTCGTACATACCTTAATCTTCCTTCGGAGATTGTGCCAGCTACCCTCAAGAAGTCCGCCAAGCCGCTTGGCCGTCCCATGGGTGGACCACCAGGCGACCGCCCGCGGTAAATATTTTCATTTGCTTTCGAGTTAATCAGATTCATGTTTTTAAGTGTCTGTTTAAATAGAAAATTTTTAGGAATGCGATTGGATTTATTGAGAAGTAACCATAATTCACCACGGTAATATGGACATTTATTTACACTGATATTCTATTGAGTTAAAATAAAATTGTTTTAATTAATTTTAATTTTTTTGGTTTTCTTCATTTAGAGTCCGTTTGATTGCAAATGTGGAAAATCGATGGAAAGAAAATGAATTCTAGGAAATTGAATTGCCTAGAAATTGTTTTACTGGGAGTTGTAATTAATTGTGTTTGATTGGTATAATTTTCCACTTGGAAAACGTTAAAAGTTTGGTGTCCGCTTGGCTTTTTTTTTCATGGAAATTGTCCATTAGAATGATAATTTTCTTTACCATTGGGTATAGAATTTGTTTCACTTGCAAAAAAAATTTTTTTTTTAAAAATTACCATACCGAGTACCATTCGTTTGACTTTTTTTTTGTATGAAAATTGTCAATAAAAGTCATAAATTTTTTTAACATTGTATCTAAAAAATTTTCCAATTGCTTTAAAAAAAATGGTGGGAATTGGTTTTCCACAAAACCAAGGAATTGGTGAGCATGTGAGCTAAATGTGGAAAAAAAATTTCATGGAAAATAAAGTGTATCAAATCAAACAAGGTAAAAGTGGAAGTTGGAATTTGTTTTCCATTTTCCACGGAAAATAATGCCCTATCAAACATGGCCTTAAAAAGTGCATTTGTTATAAGTTGTGAGATGCATACAAGTTCAAGGGATTATAAGTTTCTTATTATCATTTAGAAACCTATAGCTGATTTAAGTATTTTGGGATATGTTGCAATAGTGGACCTCCAAGATTCGATGGTGATAGACCAAGGTTTGGAGATAGGGATGGATACCGTGGTGGGCCAAGAGGCCCCCCAGGCGAGTTTGGCGGTGAAAAAGGTGGAGCTCCTGCTGACTACCAGCCTGCTTTCAGGGTAATTTGTATATTTAGATACTCTATCTTATTTGATTGTTGAATTAGTATTTGTGCTATTCTTTGTTTTGTGTTTAGGGGTTGACGCCTTTTTAATTTTTATTAGATAATAAATGAACCCACCAATTTAAGTTATTTGTGGCCTTGTAATTCTGGATGTATAGGCATTCAGGTTTACATTGCTTGTTGGTCACCCATGAATCAGTCATTTATGACTTTTTAGGTAGGACCGTAGGAGGCCCCTTTCTTCTATCTTCAGGTGGGGGTACGAAATATTGGAAAAGATTACAAGCGCCACCCCCCACCCCCCCCCCCCCCTCCCCCCCCCCCCCCTTTTTTTTTCTTTTACCTTTTTCACTTATAAATTTGTTTATAATTTATGCTGAATGTTCTGAAACTTCTCCTTGCATGTTAACTGAAATAAATTTTGTCAAAATTTTAGACGCGAACAATTTTCATAAATGGCCAGTCTCTAGGTGAGACTTGAACTTGGGATTTTTAACATGATCATATGTTGACTAAGATATCAATATTATCTTTAATTATTTTTTCTTGTGCAATTACTGGGTAAAAGTACTTTAAGTTGAGCGAGTACAACTGCATTATGAGCATTGTTGATTTAGGGCCTTGTAATCGTGCATTCAAATGCGTTCAGGTCATTGTTTGCTGGTTACTATGAAAATGATGAGTTAGTGCTATAATTTTTAATGCTAACCTTTTTAGCCTAATTCATAATAAGCCCTTGTTTGAGCCTTATTTTGGGGAATAAATGTATTTTGTAATAGTGATTTTTTTTTAAGAATGTAGGGTTAAAAAAATGTGAAAAAGTTTTCAATCTACGTGTAAAATTATTTTATTGAAGAATGTGTGGTTGAAAATGATTTTTGAAAAAATGATTTTTTGAAAAAAAATGGGGATCAAACAAGGGCTAAGCTTCTTGATTAGTACTGCAAAATGCTGTATTTTCGGACTATCTTTTTGGGAACGTCACACTGGACATACTAAGTAATGTTGTTGACCACCCATTTGCTAAATCTGTAAAACATAATACTTGTGTACTTCTCAAGAATATGATATCATAGTTAGCTTTTACCAATTAGAGCTAGGTATTGATATATCATGATTGCTTTGGCGTTGGATACCTTTTTGAACATTATTATCATCGTCTTCCTTTCCAGAGATGTTGAAATAAACACGGTGGAATTCTCACTGTATTATAATGCGATACTGTATTTGATGTACATTACTCGAATATAATAATGATGGCATATTGATAGATGAATAGACATATTTCTTATTTTTCATCTTCACACATCACGATATCAATAAACTTCTATTTGCGAATTACTTATTGTACGACTGGTTTTTGTTTCTTGGCTTGTATGGATGATGACTACCTGTCCTGTTTCGAGGATTCTCCTATAAATATATGCTAGGCATGGGATTTCAGTTAAAGTTAACTCATGTACCTGCAGGGTTCTGGTGGAAGGCCTGGCTTTGGACGTGGATCTGGTGGCTATGGTGCACCACCCCCAAGTTAAAAAACTCTCAGATATATTCTCTTTTAGAGTTCTAACTTCGGAATTTATGTCAGCAAACGTGAGGCTTACCTTTTCTTTGAAATACTAGGTTTGTACTTCGATTTCTTCTGCAATTTTGTTCATTTTGGATCTTAAGTCAATGGATATTGCAGCTTATCGACTTGAACCTCGAAAACTTATTGCCAGTAGTAAGAAAAAGTTTTTATATATTGTCAGTAGTGAACCTGCCTTTTAATTTCTTAAATATGCTCGTCGTAGCTAACTTCTAATGGAAAAAAATTATTGAATGTAATTTTTTCTTTTCTAGGTTCGTTTTTGTTGCATCTTTCATTACGTGTGTAGCCTACTTCTACTAGCACTTCCGACCAATAGGTCTAACCTTCTCTGCCGTGTGTTTTCTGTACTCCCATGAAATTTTCACTCAAAATAATGGAGAAACCCAAGCCATTAGCGAGTGGGAAGGAGAGGAAAATTTATACATTTTGTTGTTATTAGAAAGAATTAAAAAGGTTACTAAAGCAGTAATTAATCGCTTCAGTAAAAAAATAAAAATCATTTTAATATATTTTTTCAACATAATAGTACAACCGAGATAAGTTTTCTATCCTTGCTGAAATTTTCCATCATTAATATATGTATCTCTCACTTTAATTATCGACAAAAATCGTCGATAATTAAAGTCGTATATTTATTTTTTACACTACTAATTACAATTTCCTTCATAATCCTGAATACTTTTTTAATTGCTATTTGATTCAAGATGGAATTATTTAAAGGTAATTTTCATTTGAAAAAATTAGGAATAGACTCTCCAATCTTTTAGCTCTTTTAAGTTGGGTATTCATGTTCGTTAAAAAGGTAAAATTTCTTTAAAATGATTGTTTATACTCCAATTTATAAATAAATATTAAAAGAAAAAAAAAAACCAAAATCTCTCACCAATTAATTTTATTTTTTTACTGAAACGATTAATTGCTAACAAGGAGAAATAAAAGAGATCTGAAGTCTCGTCGATTGTGTTGTATGGTATTCAATCTTATAATGTGTATTACTTTGATCCATAGGATTCTATTGTATGAATAATATGACAATCTTTAGAGTAATGTTATTAATCATCATGAGAGACAATATCAATTATACGACAATTCATTATTCCTCATATTTCTCTCTCTTCTTCCCTTCTCTTATAAAATTTGAATTACAAAATTTCATTATTCCACATAAACTGTCACATCACCGATATTCTACATAAACAAAATTGATCTTTTGATGATCACGTGATTAGATAGTAATAAATTGTAAAATAAATGTTTACATTCGAATGTCATCCCACAAAGAACTATTACTTATTATAAATTTTTTTCCCTAAATTTAGCTTCAATTCAATCTATATTAATGTAGTAACCAATTAACAATTTAAGAGTTCTAACTTAAATTAATCTAAGTTTAACGAATAGGTGAAGAACATTTGGGTTAAGGGGTTAGGAATTCCAATTTCACTTAAATAACTTAATATTCATTCAATCCAACATCATTTAACCCTTTTTTCATATGTATTTCAGATTAATTAACCAATTTTAGTTAGTAATCTATCTCAAACAAAACTAACTATATTCACATATTCGGATTTACTATATGTTTATGTAAATTTTTTAACATGTAAAAATATTCACTTGTAGTAATTCAATCATGATTGCATAAGTTATAATTATTTCATGATCTCTTACCAAAATTTGTCACTTATTGCACGAACAAGATAAATAAATCTCATCTTAGTCTCAATATTGTCATTAAATCAAGCAATTGAATATCAATGGCACACAATAAGAATTAATAGGAATAAAGAAAAGATCCTTGCAATTATTGTTCATTGGCATCCAATTCTCACAAATGTATAATCAATCTCCTCTTCAAAGCAACTATATCTCTACGCAAATTGTGTTCTTCAACCTTCAAATTCCAAATTAAGATACAAATCTCAAGAATTTAGAATGTGTTTGATTGACATGAAAAATATATCATAGAAAATAAAATATTTTTCTTGTTTGGAGGAAAACAAAAACCTACCCCCTCCCCAAAGAAAATGTTTTCCTTAAAAACAAGGAAAATCAGGCATATTTTTAAAAGTTTGAAAATATTTTCCATGGAAAAAGAAATAGCAATCAAACACTTCAAAATATGAATTTAAGTGAAAAATTGTCATTTTTAATGAAAAATAAATGCAATCAAGCACATCCCCGGAGTCCGTTTGATTGTAAGAATGTAATTTGGGTTAAAAAAATGAATTTTAGGGAATTAAATTGCTTAAAACTTATTTTATTGGGAATTACAAATTAATTGTGTTTGATTGGTAAGTTTGTATAATTTTCTACCTGAAAAATATTAAAATTTTGGATCTTTTGGTGTTCGTTTGACTTTGTTTTTCATGAAAATTGTCCATTAATTTATTACAATTGATGATAAAATTTGTTTCAATTGCAAAAAAAATGAAAAATGGGTGGAAAGAAAAAGAATTTCAGAGAAAATAATTGTCTAGAACTTGTTTTTTCGGGAATTGTCAATTAATTGTATTTGATTAGTATAATTTTCCACCTGAAAAATGTTGAAATTTTGGATCTTTTAGTATTCGTTTGACTTTGTTTTTCATGAAAATTGTCTATTAAAAGAATATAATTTGTTACAATTGGGGATAAAATTTATTTCCATTATCAAAAAATAATAAATAAAAAAAAGTTGCCTAGAAAAGCTTTTCCCACCAAAGTGGTAGGAAAAACTTTTCCTCAAAAATTAAGAAAATGTGAGCATGTAGGTGAAAAATAGAAAATCAATTTCGTGAAAATTTTGGACAATCAAACATGCAAAAATGTGGAAAATGAAATTTAATTTCCATCTTCCATGAAATTGAAGTTTAATTAAATAGGGCCTCAATGTATTTGGATGTGTAATTTAGTCACATTTTCCTCTTCTTTTTGTTATGTACAGGATCTGCAGTCTCAGAAGCTGATTGGGACAAGCCGTAGGAAGGGGGGACTATATATTTTGGATGAGTTAAATATGCTAGTTGATGCTGTTGCTACTAGTGTTGATTTGTCTTTTTTTCGTTTAAGTCCTTTTTATTCTAGTTTTTATTTATGGCATTCTCGCTTAGGTCATGTTTCGTCTTCTCGTTTGAGATTTTTGGCTTCTACAGAGGCATTAGAAAATTTACAACCTTGTGATATTTCAGATTTAGTGGTTGTAAACTGACAAAATTTTCAACTTTACCTTTTAATCGAAGTATTTCTGTTTCTTCATCTTCCATTTGATTTGATTCATTCTGATGTATGGGGGCATTCTCCTGTTGCCACGAAAGGAAGGTCTTAATATTATTTTTTTTATTGATGATCATACTCGTTATTGTTGGGTTTATTTAATAAAACATCGTTCTGAATTCTTTGAAATATACACAACCTTTTGTACTCTTGTCAAAACTCAACATTTTGTTGTTATCAAATATTTTAGGTGTGATTTGGGTGGGGAATACACTTCTAATAAATTTTGTGAGCTAGTTGCCTTAGATTGAACTATTCACCAAATTTCGTGTACATATAATCTTGAGCAAAATGGTGTTGCTGAAAGAAAATATAGGCACATCGTTGAAACTGCTCGCTTTCTCTTGTTGTTTGCTTCTGTTGCTAGTGTGTTTTGGGGTGAAGCAGTTCTTACTGTTGTAGGTTTGATTAATACAATTTCAACTTCTCATATTTCAGGTTTTTCTCCTTTCGAAAAATGTTGTATCGGTATGCCTCTGATTATTCTTTCTTTAGAGTTTTTGGTTGTACTTGTTTCGTTCTTCGTCCTAATGTAGAACACAGCAAGTTGTTACTCGATATGCTATTTATGTCTTTCTTGGTTATGGTGAAGGTAAAAAGGGGTATCGTTGTTTTGATCCAATAACTCAGAAACTTTATGTGTCTTGTCATATTGTCTTTCTCAAGCATATACATTTCTTTTCTATTCCATCCACTACTCATAGTTTAACCAGATTTGATCTTATTCGTATAGATCCTTTTTCTGACGATTCTAATAGTTTGTCATCTTAGGTTCCTAGCACTGCAAATACCCCTTCTCATGTTTTTACTCCGTTATCTTTACAAACAATTCGTACTGATCATTATGCATGTACTGACACTTTACTCTTCGGCGCACCTAAAGCTCCCTCCTCTCCTATGGTCCCTCAAGCTCCGTCTGCGACTGTGGATCCACCTCTACGTCAATTAATACGGATTCGTAAGTCTACAAAGTTACCAGATTTTGCTTATTCTTGTTATTTTTCATATTTTACTTCCTTTTTAGCTTCTATTCATTGTCTCTCTGAGCCCTCTTCCTATAAAGAGGCAATTCTTAATCTTCTTTGGCAGAAAGCTATGGATGAGGAACTTTCTGCTTTGCATTTAACTGGTACTTGGGATTTGGTTTCTCTACCTCCTGGTAAGAGGGTTATTGGTTATCGTTGGGTGTATAAGATCAAGACTAATTCTGATGGATCAATTGAGCGATACAAAGTTAGGTTGGTTGCAAAAGGGTACTCTCAACAGTATGGTATGGATTATGAGGAGACATTTGCTCCTGTTGCAAAAATGACTACTATTCGTACTCTTATTGCAATAGCTTCGATTCGTCAGTGGCGTATCTCTCAACTTGATGTTAAAAATGCTTTCTTAAATGGAGATCTTCAAGAAGAAGTTTATATGGCTCCCCCTCCTGGTGTTCCACATGATTCTGGGTATGTTTGCAAACTCAAGAAAGC